GCATGTTTCTTGGGATTGAATACTCTCCTCCTAAGGCTATGGCCTGCTATTGTCTATGAAGCCACATGTACCCTCTAGTCTCTGGTTAGCCTGCACTCATCTGCAGCCCTATCATCTGCATCAGTTGGCAGATACAAAGAGCATAGCGCTGATTTGCGTGTGAGCATGTGCGCCTTTTGTGTGTAGCACGGCTGCACTTGCTTGCGTGTGCAAGTCTGTGTGTGTGCTTGTGTACAGTGTCTTTTTATATGATAAAGTGGGAGTGTCTGAGGCATCTGATGGTTCCCAGACTTTGGCTCTGTTTTATCTGATGCTGAGATGGCAGCTGTTGACCAAAGGAATTCATACATGTGTGTATAATTTGTCTTACGGCTCAAAACAAACACGGGGCACAGGACATCTTTTACCCATTCAATTTGACATGACGAAAACAGAAGGTCACTATGTGTGTTTGGTTTTCTGAGTTACTTGATTATAATTTTCAGGACTGTCTACAAATAGAATGTAGCACAAACCTAAGCATGTTGCGCAGTATGGTCGTAGAACTGTATATACAACAAACCATAAACGTACGAGAACAAATGTGGATTGAAGCACGTTGCAGAATAGCTTTGAACTCACAAATTTATTTGCCTCCTCTTAATGATAATAATCTTAGGACTGGCAGCAGCGAATGAGCCTCCTCTGAAATCCAAAGGAAAAAAATTACATGAATTAATAATGAGCAAAATTACTCAAACTCCGCACACCACGACCTGCCGCAGCACGGTGAGCAGCGGGCCCTAAGGTGACAAAGCTGGATAAATATTTTATGTCTAAATATGATTTTGGGGTCCAGAGCCTGCTGCCTGACAATGCTGCCCAGATCTTCGCAGCACATGGTTAAACCATTAGGCTAAAAGGAGACTTGGAATCTGTCTGCGGCTCTTGTCTGGACAGAAGCAAGACTCGGAGATCAGTGTAGCAGCCAGCTTTTGAGGCTCGTGTCAGCGAAGAGAGTCGACGGTGTTCTTTGGGTGCCCTCAGGTGGAAGCCTGGTATAATTGCTGTTGACAACCTACAAGTCATTGTGCAATTAAAGCATCTGCCGCTCCTGTGTGGCAGCGGGCTGTGATGCCTTGTGACAGCTCGTAGCCATTAAGCAACTGTAAGCAGCTGGCGTGCCTCGGTGGGGGAAAATAATGTGACAGAGGCACTCCCCCCTATTGTTGCCCTTGTCTCATTGGGGAAAAGAGGGACATTACATCACTCACTGAATTCAGGGGTGTCTCAATGAATGGGAAAGGGGCATGTCTACAAATTAGAACTGGCACAGCTGGATGTCCGAATGATACTTTGATTCTGAGCACAACAACTGAAAAAGATTTTATTGTTTTATGACGATAGATGGAGGCCTGCAATGAAAAAAACAACTACGAGTACGCACTGGGACAAGTAATATTCTATCTTACAACTTCCACAGCTGGCAAATTGTCTGTCTAGTTGATCAACAAAAGCGAAAATCTGATAATCAGTTAACTATTTTCAACAAAAAAATAGTATTCCACCTTTTTATATGTGAAGATTTCCTGCTTTTCTTTTTTATATTGAAGTGAATATTTCAGGTTGAAATTCTTGCTCAGACAAAACCCTGTTTTGGGAAACTGCACTGAGCATCTTGTTCTATTTTCTGATATTTCAGAGAGCAAATGATTAATTGAGTCATTGAGAAAATAGTCTTTAAATGTGATTGTTAGCTGCAGCCTTAATGAGAATGTTTTCACACTACTATTGTGCAGGGTTCTCTTATAAATAAGGTTTAATAATGAAGTGGCCGAACTACTCAATTATAAAAAGACGGGGAGAAACCCTAAGCTTCAAGTGTGAAAAGTGAAAAACCAGATTTACAACTCTTTTGACTGTCTAGATCAAAGTAGAAAGCATACCGGCCTGTCCTCCACTGCTGGGGGGATGACATAAGTCTTTTTTTAATTACCACATCTCCAAGTCATTTGCCTGTCACATGTAAATGCGGTCTTTTGATTTACATTTTACCATAGCGAGTTTGCGGGGGATTTATGTGCATATGATTTGCACAGTTTTTGGTCAGATCTAATTATTTATTTAATTAGCTCTTTTTTTCGTGCCTTTTCTCCTTCTTTCCTCCTGTGTCATGGAATTTCTAAATTTTCTTAATAATTTGGCCTAAACAGTAACTATATAACTGTCAGGAAGAACCTGACAAAATGTAATTCAAAGACAGTTGTAATCAACTAGTCACATTCATGCGGGCAGGCCATGAAAGGCCATGAAAGTATGTATGCGTGTGACTAGTGTGCCTCTGAGCGTGTGTGTGTGTGTGTGTGTGTGTGTGTGTGTGTGTACCTCCTGTCTGTCTGAAGGATTTGCTGTTTCAGCAGGGAAGGAATCAGTCCTGTGCCTTTGCCATGCAGGAAAGTCAGCGTAAGGAAATTCCTGAGCTTCACATTGGCAATCACGCAGTTAAGGACCTGCCACTGAAAATGGAGCTGTATGTCAGTCACTTTCATGGCTTATTCACACTAGCACAACTGCTCTGGCATAAAAAGAGGCATTCTCATTCACTCACCCCTACAACCCAGTAAATTGCCCTTTCTTGAAAATGGTAGAGTCTGTACATTTACATGCCCTACAACAACTGCTACATCTGAAAGTTAACCTCTCACACAAGAAATACTCTTTTAAGTCATTGCTTTTGTGCCAGCGTCTCTTAGAACTGCATGTTACTTATATGGTTCAAACAGACACAGTTTTAGTACGACTGTGGCTGTTTTTATAAGACTTACACCATGACAGGTGGCAGTGATTGTTTCGTTTGTCCTTCTAGAAACAAAGAGGCAACAGCTACTATGTTTGTTAGTTCTATTGCATTCTTTCTTTGATGCAACCATTGCAATTTGCAAGTTAAATTTTAAATATGAGTGGTCAACTGTTTTTTGTAAAGAATTTTGATAACTAGAACAGTTCTGTCCAGTGCCTGTGCTCTACTTTTTACAACATGCTGCATTCTCGTGGTCGTAAATACTTCAGTTTCCAACTGCAGCCTCATATACTGATCATTTAGCCCTGTGTTAAACAAAAGCTGTTTTTATTATAATGAAGACAGACGAGTGATAGCTTATACAGACAATATAAACAGGAGTACTTCATATCTGCTGTTGGTGTTATGATAAATTGACTCAAAATTTTTGACAATTAAATACAGGACAACTAGAACATTTTTTAATAATAATAATAACTTGATTTGTATGGCACTTTTAAAAACAAGCCTTTACAAAGTGCGTTGACAGACAAACCAAAAGAACGATACCCAGAAGGCAACATAACAACAATTAAGATAAAGTTGAAAACAGGAAGACAGCAGATGCAAACATGCAAAACACAATATGTCAATGTTACAGTCACCATTATTTATATGGCGCATTTAAAGCAACAGCCACTGAAGCAAAGTGTTTTCTAGCAGAGAAATAAGGCTGAGGTCTTTATTGAACTAACAAGTTTAAAAGGTTAGAACCCTACAGTATTACTTATTACATACATACATAATACATTTACCTGACTAATTTATATATCGTGGTTAAGATCCTACAACAATATATAATATAAAGTCTTGTCTTGTACAAAGTTTTGTCTTCAAAATTCTATAAAATAAAAAGTAAGCTGACTAATCTGAATATTAAAGTTAAAACTCTATAATATGATATAGATGGTAAACCGGGGTAAGATTGAAATATAATATCAATATATAATGTACAGAAGAAGTATTCTAAGGTAAACAAATGGAGTTAAATCATACCAGACTACAGCTTTGTTAAGGTAGAACTCAATGTAAAGTCTTGAAAAGGGTCATCTCCCGTCATGAACCCCCTCTAAAAAGTGAAAGCACTGATTACCAGCTTAGTCTCCAGTAGCACAGCATTTAAGCTAGGTAGCTGGTGCTAAGCTAGCTACTATAGCATGACGTTATTAGCGTAACATAAAGTGAGCTAGCTAGTCTTTTAGACAATAAATAATATGCTTTTAAACTGTTGGTTAGCTACTGTGTTACTGTATTAGACAGCAATGTGAAAAGTTTATCACAAAGCTAGGCTACAGTATTAAAAATCACTGACGCACATAGTGGCTTCTTACCCCAAATCAGAGCAGGCCTTATCTCAGAAGGCCTGCTCTGACGCTTTAACGAGTTACAAAAAATAAATACAGATTTTTGTTTTGTTATTTTGTTGTTGTTTGTTTCAAACTAATGAATAATCCTCCGTTCATGTTAACAATGTATTATTTTTCTTTTCTTTTTTTTCTCTTTTCTTTTCTACTTAGACTGTTACATCAACATACCTTATAACCACTTATTTTGATTTCCTCAGACCAGGAAAAGGATTTCAATGCTAATAAAAGATTATTAAAAGACAGGCGACGAACATTTATTAAACGACTTGAAATGAAAACGTATTGTAACTACTGTTCAGAAGAGGAATAATGGCTGGAAATGGGCTTTTACTTTTACCACGGTTTACCCAAATAGAAAAACTACTTAACTCATTTTAAGGTTAAGGTTAGCATTGTAAAATACAAGCATACCGAATTGATTTAAATGTTAGTGAAGTTAGTTAGTAAACATTGCTGTTTAGATCCTGTAAAATTCTATATGGAAAGCCCAACAAATTGAAGATTTCCGATGAGCATTATCTACTCTGGCAGCCATACCTGTTGTTAAATTTATTATTTATTATATATTTTTTATAATACAATAACGCGAAACAAATCTACACTACTTTCGACGTGCTGTCATTCGTGCTCAGGGGCGGCAGCTTCATTTTCCCACAGACCTAAAAGCAACATGTGACGTTACCTGGAAACGCGTGCTTATTCCTCTGCCGCAAACCCCAAGTGGCATGTCGTAAAGCCTGTGTCACAGATAAGTAAACCGCTATTGCGTTATAGTTAACGCGTTGAGTCGTGTGATTGTTTTTCTGGCTGCATTTTGAGTCGTTGCATTTCAGCACCAGGGCGGAGGCTGTGCTGTCTCGGAGGAGACCGAAAATGGAGCAGGGACTCTCAGCTGCCTCGCAGGCTTCGCGACACGACGCCTTCCTGGATCGGATGACGCGTGTGGACAGAAAGCCGGTAAACATTGAAGAAGACGGGCTGCAGAGCTGTACAGAGACTGCTCCTGAACCGTACACTAACGGCTTCTGTGGGCTACTGTTATGGTAAAGCGATTTTAAAAATCCTTGTGCTAAGCATTAAGCGTATATTTTTGACCGTAACTTTAACGTATTGTCTTCATGTGTTGTTCAGTGACAGTAAACGGATTAGAAGTGCTAGCATTATGCTATGTTGTGGTGCCTTCACTCATGTATTTGTTTTAATTTGCGTTAAGTGTTGGCTTGTGAATTGCAGTGACAAGTTTATCTGCATGTGCACCTCCTTCATTAATGTCGTGTTGTCACTTTCAGCCGACCTGATTCAATTGATGGAGGTAATTTTAACTTCAGAGAAAGCATTGGTACTTGCATTTTAGAATAAGTCCCACTCCTCTTGTTGTGTAAAGCAAACCTAAAGCTTTTACCTCAGTTTTGAGGTACATTATGTGACCTCTTGCTGTTTTCAAAGCGTCAGTTGGTGTCAATTCTACCAGAATTCAGGACATATGTTGCTGCATTGTCTCAGATTTAGTCTAGTCTTAAGTAAATGTCTTAATTGGGCCCAAAAACTAAGTCCTTATAAAACATTTAGGTAAATCTTGAGAATAATAATTTTTTTCAACAACTAAATAAACGTCTGAGCTGGAAAGCCATATCTAGGATTGAATATCTCCATTAACAAAACTCCCACAGTCACGAAACTTGGTAAATGGAAAGATAGCATTGTTTCCAGTTGTCTAAATGCCACATGCCTTCAGCAGAGACCACATTTTTAGTTATTAGCCATTGAAAATAAAAAATGCTTTTTTTTTTCTTTCTTTTTTTTTTATAAACAGGGGTGGTATTGGGGCCCCAGAAAGTTCCATTAACTGTTTACATATGGATGTATTCATATTTCCTACAAAAATATGTTAGTTGGTATTTCATCAATATTTCAAGCCTCTAACATCTGTAGAATTTGATGTGCAGTAAGTATGGCAAGCCAAGGTTTCAGCCTTTTGCTATTTTGACAAAATGGTGATGTAGACTCATTCGAAGGACCACAACGTCTGGTGTGCATAGGGGTCTAATATATTGTCATTATATGTGCAAAGTTACAAGTTGCTTCTGTGTCGTCTTCGTGTTGATATTTGACAATATGTAAGGCGTATTTTGCCTTACACAATGTGCCAAATAAAAAATATGTCAACTCTGAGAAAAATCTGAGACAGAGTAGCAACACCACTGTCTGAAATGACACAGACTGAACCAAAAGTGGACACATAATGACCAAGTTAAAGGGTAGTCTTTTTGTTTTATTCAGTTTTAAGGTTGAAACAAGGTACATAAATGACAGTGTAATGTTTGCTCCAAATGATATCTCACATCCAAACGTGTGCATTCTTGCTTTGTAGCCTCATGAGACTTGGTCCCTGCGAGGGGTTCCCCCTCAGGTCAAACCAGCACCTGGTGGACTTGTGAGTTGCCCTTTCTGCCCTCGGACAGCAGAGTACCCTGCTGTGGCTGCACACCTTCAAAGTCACCAGAGGTCGATGGTACAATATGAAGGTATGGAGAGCACAGAAAGCCAACCTCCACAGCAAAGACTAATAGAGGCCATTATTCAATCCTGAAATCACCAGTTTCTGGATTATATATGAATCCCATTGGTTTCCTCAATTACTATTTAATATTTTTAACTTTTCTTCACTTTTACAAGTAAGAAGTTAATGATTAAATGATTCATTTAGTCATGACACCTCTACAGGGGACTGTATGCTTTTGCAAACCACTGTGTATTATTGTGATCGTTACTGTTATGAACAATTGAATTCACAATAGTGGCACCTAAGCATGCACATGTGTTGAACTTAACCAACAGATCACGGTGTTCTTGCACAGCCTCTATTTCCCCACCCCCCACCCCCTCACACCCCCACCCCATTTATTGTGGATATTTCATTGTTGTGGTCACAGGTTATGACATTTACAAGTGCCACCAGGCATGTTTAAAAGACGGTCACTACCACTGTGACTTGTGTCAGAGGGCAATTGGGAGGAAGGAGCTGTTTGAGAAACACCTTAGAAAGTGTTCTTCAACATCGAGGCAACATCAGGCCAGAACAACTGATGGAACCGTCGTCAGTGACCCTCTCTTACCAGAAACCGAGATGCACACAGAAAACGATTTAAACTCTTGCAAAACCGGTTCGAAAATGGCAACATACACAGCCGAAGGTAAGGGAAGATGATCGTTAGCTGGCAGACCATGACTCTAACATAGATTTTGTGTTGCCAGTTTCACAAACACTCATTGTACAGCATCCTATTGAAGTCATGGTTATGTTTTCTGCCTTCTGCAGTCGCTACAGGACATTCTGTTGTGGTGGAGGTGAGCCCAGATATCCACATCTGTGGCTTCTGCAAACAGCAGTATAATAATTTTGAGGTCTTTCTCGCCCATAAGAAAAATGGATGTTCCTTGCCCACCCCTGATACACCAGCCACCACTACAGCAGCCTCTCTCACAGGTAAAACACTGAACTTCTGCTTCTCTTTTCAGCAATTTGCGTGAAAACATACAGTTTTGTCTTATGCACCTGTTGTTTTCTCATCGCTGCTCAGATTCCAGTACTGAGTTTATTTTCGAGGAGACCTACCAGACCTGCTTCAAGAAAGGCGTCAAAAAGATCCTGACCAAAGCACAAAAAACACCTTCCAAAAAATTAAAACCTGCCCTGACTTCAAAGAGACACAGCTGCTGTTTCTCAGGTTGGTGCCTCTTGCTGTTTATGACTGTTACACTTTCTTCCTCTTCAGTTTTCAAGCAGGAACAGTCAGCCCTTTTTCATTAGCTTTTATTTATTTAATACACTTTTAGATGAGCTTTCCATGAGTGCAGAGCCTATAAACACCTTGTAAAATCATGTTTTCTTGATCTACAGGTTGCACTTTTAAGACACAATATGGCCAAAAAGACATGGAGCGGCATCTCAAAACCCACACCGGTATGCTAACCCTCTTATACACATGGTTCTTGGTTGCAAAATCCCTTTAGGTATTGACACAAGTTGTCTTTCCGTCCTCCATCCAGGTGAGAAGCCATTTGAGTGCGAGCTGTGCCACAAGCGCTTCAGTCGGCGAGACAAGCTCAACATGCACAGCCGCTCACACACAGGCGAGAAGCCACACAAGTGTAAACACTGTCCCTATGCAGCTGCAGACAGCAGCAGTTTGAAGAAGCACCTGCGGATCCACTATGATGAGCGACCATTCAAATGCCAGATCTGTCCTTATGCCAGCCGAAACTCCAGCCAGCTCACTGTGCATCTCCGCTCGCACACAGGTAAGTAGTCGAAAATACAGAATTGCTAGCAAATTTGGGACAATTTTGTTTTGTGGGCTACAACCAAATTTTGTGTGTTTTTTGTTCTTATTATGCATTTTCTAAGGAGATGCACCTTTCCAGTGCCAACAGTGCGATGCCAAGTTCAAAATCAACTCAGACCTGAAGCGGCACATTCGGATTCACTCTGGTGAGAAACCTTATAAGTGTGACTTTTGTGAGTACCGCTGCGCCATGAAAGGCAACCTGAAATCTCACATTCAGATCAAACATGGCACAGAAAACTCTTTTCACTGCGTGCATTGTGATTTCAAGTGTGCCAACAAGACTGCTCTGCGGCAACACTCGAGAGAACACCAACCTACTCAGCCCATTCAGTGTTCCAAGTGCACTTATTCCTGCTCCAGCAAGGGGGCGCTCAAAGTCCACGAGCAGATCCACTCAGAGGAGCGCCCCTTTAAATGTGACTTTTGCAACTTTGCCTCCAAGCAGCGCAGCAATCTTGTCATTCACAAAAAGAAGTGCCACTCAGATAAACCTGAGAAAGGCGGCACAGGGGGAGGCAAGAGCGGAGGTGGTGAATCTCCAAAGCCTGTCAGCTCTCGGTATCGGGCCAAGCTGGATGCAGCTCGAGCCTTCTGCTGCGACTCATGCGATGCTTCTTTTGTGAGGGAGGACTCTCTGCGGAGCCACAAGAAGCAACATAGAGACAGTCAGAATGTGTTGCAGCTCCAGCTCTCCACACCAGCAGATGCAATCAACTTGGTTCCCGTTACAATGCCACAGAGCAACACTCACCTTGAAGTCCCCATCCCGTCTAGTTCAATGGCTCCTTACAGTAATGCACAGCTCAAAATCATCGTATCTCACCCTTTGGGACAGGAGAACCCCTTAATCCCAGCTGGCGGGGACAGTCAGAATAAGACCAACATGGTTTTGCTTAGCCCCGAAAACCAGGACATGGTCGTCAACTCGATCATCCAGCAGGTCAACCTGCTGGCACCTATGCAACCCCTCGTGTCATCCCAGGCCACGGAAGCTACTCTCGAACCCCAGACTGTCCTTTTGACGCAGCTCAGCTCAGAAGATGCCAACAACCCTCTCCACCAGGCGCTGCTGCAGACGGCAATAACCGCTCAGGACTCTAGCAGCAGCAGCAGCAACAACACACAGACTTTCATCACCACCTGCTCTGAACTGGAGGGTCTCAACGCCCTGATCCAGGAGGGGGGCACCGAGGTTACAGTGGTGACGGAAGGGAACGCCGCCCTGGTGACCGCAGGAACTCCACCAGAAATGTCCAAGCCAGCAGAGACAGTGACGGTCGAGGAGAGCACATTGCCCTGTGAAGAAAACACGTTGCTGGTGCCAAACATCAGCCTGAGCAGCCAGAATGTGGTCATCCACGGCGTCCCGCTGATAGTGTCCGCTCAGCCACAGCGGAGTGAAGTAGAGCAGCTCTCTCCTCACACACTCTACTCAGATTCACACACACTAGAAGGCATCCCACAATGACTGGAGCGTGTTTATGTGAAACTAAAAAGACTTGAACTGCATCATAAGCTATTTTTATTTTTTTTGCTGGTAAGAACTCGTAGGCCTCACCTTAACCACTGAAATAACAATAATGTTGACTGAAGCTTAATTTACTTTTCAGATTTTTAGAATATTTAATTGTTGTAGTAGCACAATAGTTCAGTCCAGGATGTTGTCACATTTAACGATGATTAACTTTCAATTAGAAAAAATCGTTCATTTTGACTTCATTTCATACACTTTATTTTCATGTGTAATTTTTGGAGAAGTTTAAAATAAACCTTATTTTAAATAAACTGAATGAGTCATTTAGCTGAAATAAGGTTTATTTTCAGGCAACATCATAACAGAAAAATCTGAAAAAAAGAAGAATAAAGTTTAAACCAAATGGACGCAACAATTTGAATGTATTTGTGCCATGCGTTTTTCATGTTTGTCCATAAGGTGGCAGCAGAGTGACAAGCGTAAAGGGAGACCTATTGATCTGAAATATTGGGTATGTGTAGCTTTTTTTTTTTTTTTTTTTTTTTTTCCCAAGGAATTATTTTTAAGTCCTCATTCTGAATGTAGGACACTGATGTCGGTTGTAGAAAACATTAGTCTACATATCAAGGTCTTTAGTTTCTGAAAGGCAAGTTGCTCTCCCAATAGATTTTTCAATAAAGGGTCTGTTTTGCTTGTTGCTATCTATTATTGTGGTCATTTTTACTCTCAGCACTTAGTATTTGCAGAGATTGGATGCTGCACCTGAATAGGAGGCCTCTGTGAACCGGTGACCATTGATTTATCTCTTGTCTCTCGGCACTAATGGCTTTACTGATGCAGCCTCCTACGTTTTCAGGCTCAGCATGGTCACAAACTCAGGTGAAGTTGTTTGACAATGAGGACGATGATGTTTGCCAGCACTGAAGGTTCACCTAGGAGTCGATTTGTGTTTCAAATGTGGAACAGTAATCGAGGACAGTGTCCCTTTTGTTCTACTTTTAGGGCATCTTTTGACCTCTTGACTTAAGGATGCGGTTTCTATGGTATTCATTAGATTGAACATGAGTGGCAGTAACTGTAGTTTTGTGAAAACTGTTGGTCCCAATTTAGCACTTACTTTTTTGGTTATGTCATGGCATTTATCAGAGAAATGCTTTTTAATCTGCTATATTTATCTGACAGCTCTGGCTACGATAATAAGAGCAGTTTGAAATTTGGAGAATTACAGGACAAGAATTGGTGAGTTTAGCAGACAAACCAGATTTTCATTCCTCTGTTCATTCATTCAACCTTTATTTAAACTCTTGAGTACATTACGACACAAAGGCCCCATTTGCAATTTAGCCGAGTGCAAAAATATAAGCTGTAAGCATGCATAAAGGAAACTGGGATAACAATAATGTATTGAAAGGCAAAGTTGGTAAAGTAAAAGCATGTATAAGAACAACAAATAAATCAACTAACTTCAGATTGTTCTATTTGAGGAAGCTAGATATTTGGCCAAGTAATTGTCACTTCCTGTGAAACCATAACTTGTTTTTCTTAACTTGGACGTGTTGGTGAATATATTTTGTTAAGTTTATACAAATTCAGGCAAGTTGTTTTAACTTTTTTAAACAAAATGTCAGCTGGGTATAGTTTTTGCTTGAGTAGGATTTTGAAAGCAGGATTTGTAGTGGAGTACTTTCAAAGCAGCATGTTTTCTCTCTCTAAGATTTCTTTCTAGATCTAAGCATTTCTTCCACCGCTGAGCGTTTAAAACCATTTTAAGGAGCACACAGCCACATTACAGTGTGAGATGCACTTCCTCTGCATTGTGACTGCGATAAATTACGCTCTTGCACTATCTTCACCTGCACTCCGGCACACCTTTTCTTTTAGACCGGTGATCAAGAGTGTCAGTGGGGACCCTTTTGAACATTGTGTGTGATTTCGGGACCAAAGTGCGTCACCTCATCTTCAAGTGGAAGTGCAAAAAAAAAAAAAAAAAAAACCTCCTTAAATTCCATTATGCATGAAGATGAGCGTTATGTGGGAAAAGCAAGAGGTGCTCTCTGGTGTATCTCTTTGATCTATTATCTAACAGACTTCCAGGCTGTAATCCTGAGCACCCTTGAGAAGGAGAGCCCATCCCCCCCCCCGGCACTCCACCCCTCCTGCTCCACATGTGACATCATGGCCGGGTTAAGTGCTTTTTCTATAGGCTACAACATCTTTAGACTCTGCTTGGGGGGGGACTTTTAAACTACTGTATAGTAAAATGTCAAATGTATTAATTAGTTTTGTGTGTTTGGTGGGTGCAAAAATGGATCATTAATACGATCATTGACTTTAATCACGTGTTAAGTTTTTAGATTTAAAAAAATAAATAAATCTATCGGCCGCAAATCCCAGCGCTCTGCTTTGAGTTAAAAGTTTTAAAACGGTAGCAGGACTTTTAAACGAACCTCTTGATACTGTATGGCACTTCTCAGTTCCTTCCTTCCTGTGTTTGAGATGAGCCTTTGAATGGGGTCATAAATGTCTCCCCAAAAAGCAATTTCCACTCCCAGCTGCTTAAAGAAATCGTAAGTTGTGATGCATTCCTTCTGGACATAAACAGATCCAGAAAGGACCAGGTGAAAGAAGGACAACAACCAGAGCTAGATCACACGTGAGCTTGGCAAAGAAAAGAAAAAAAAGTGGGTTGGTGCTTTAAATGGTGTGAAAATGTCACAGGGCTATAAAATAAACTTAAATGAATTTAGTATGTTAATTTCTTTCATCAGAGATGGTTATAAATCAGTCACTGAGTGATTGGTGTGTTCACGCTGCACTCCTCCAGGTACAATCTGTTACTCACTTCAACAATACATTTCTGACCTTTGCTTTGTTTGCACACAATTTGCTGTCCCATCAGTAAATGGCATTGAATTCCTTAATGAAATTAACTGATTGGTAAAGTATTGATATAGATTTGTTTTTCCGATGGAGGCATTTTTTTTTTCCCTGTGACACTATTGACATCTTAAGTGAGTTTTCATTTCTCAGTACACTGGAGGCTTTTATCTTGTCTCTGTTCAATTCTTTTTGTCTGTGTGATAGAAATTCAAGATGATAGAGGTATTTGATTGGCCGTTTTCAGCCAAGTAACAAAAAGACACCTTAATTTGCCTTTCTGAATGCAATGTGATTATTTGCTGAGACATTATTAAGCTATTGTAGTGTCTAAGAGTGGAATCGATAGTATCACTTTTGGGCAAACTCAGATTACTTTTCCTATGCGGGCAGGCGGTTATATGTTTCATATTTCATTTTTTAAATGAAATCATGCACAATTTGAAGCTGTTCACATCTTATTAATGAGTTTTTCCCCACTTTCTGAAAGCTCTGTCACTATTCTGTGGTTTTTATTTGGTGTTTGAGTGTTTAGGCTGTTGTTTTTTGTCTTTTTTTGTCTATCTTAGGTTGTCAGGAAGCATTACTCTGACAGCTCTTTTGTTGTTGTTTCTTTAAGATTGAAAGCAGAGTTTAGGACCAGTCCTCAGGGGGCAGAAAAATAAGTATAATTTTGAGCCACCAGGCGTGGCTGGAGTGAGAGAACCAAAGCCCATAAAAGTCCTTTAGTGGACAAAAGAATGCTACAGTATCTCCTGCTCTTCAACGCAGAGCCACTGCCTTTTATAATAATGCCCTTTATTCCTTTATGACAATGTGGGTTTCACCATTTAGCAGTGAAGCACTGATTGTGATCTTGTGAATGCAAATAACCAGCTATCAGCTTTTGTGATTCAACAACAAAGACATCTAGCCATTGTTTTCCCAGTCTTGTTTCTGTGCCACTAACCCTAAACAAATGAATGTTTGCATGGTTTTGGCCGTGCGCATGGTGCCATGCATTGAAGGGGGGAACAATCCCTCAATTGTTTTCTTTTATTCCATATTTTGTGGGATGCAAGTTATGTTGGGACCACCAGTTAAGAGTCGGGCCATCAGGTTTGGCTCTGCGCAGATATGGGATTTGTTTTTTTATGCTCGGTTTTGTGACAACCTCTGATCGTTCTCACACGTCAGCATGTTGCTTTGTGTTTTCTCGCTCCGCATTCTCAGAGTTTGCAGAGCAGGACAGTCAGTTTTTGTATGGTTCGACATTTGCTTTCATCGGCCTGCTGTTATAGAGGGATTATTCCGAGGCATTTCATAATTTAACTGGAAGAGTACATCTGTTTATAAAAGCTTTTTTTTTTCATTGTTCGGACAATTAGAAAGACAAATAGTGGTTGTAAACACCTAGTAGGATTCACAATTTACACACACTGATCTTTACAAACCAATGCTTATGTGTTCACTCTGTTGCTTTATGTGAATATTGACCCAGTTGAACCAGCTGCATAGTCAAACAAACCTATTTACAATTTTAGAAATTCCACTGGTTTCAACAGATGGCTATGAGAAAGCAAAATATTTTCTTTGTTCGCACATGCCTTATCCTAAAAAAACAAACATGATGGAAATCTGATCTTTACACATACAAGCCATTGTTGTGTGTGTGTGTGCGTGTGCATGCATGTGTGTGCTTAAGTCGGTGTTTCCCTTCCCTGCTTTCAAAGTACTTAATGCGCACAGATAGCGCTGCCACATTAATTCTTATACAATGAGGGAAAAGTAAAGTGCTTGTTGGATTGGAGTAGTTAATCGTGGTATTTTGTAAATAGTATCTTTAAATTTTTTTTTTTAAAACAACATTGAAGTCGTTTTTTCCGCATTTATCTCCAAAAAAAAGCCAATTATTTTGATAAGTGCCATGTTTAGAGCGGTCTGGAGTACATTCATAGTTTCTTAACAGCATCTTGTCTTCAAGTCTTTTTCATCACTGTTGAAAATTCACAACACTGAGGCAGACAATCAGTGGCAGACCCAGGAAATGTTGTTTTCATTTTGATATGCTGTGGTGTTTCTCAGGAATGGAGAGGTGAATAGAGGGAAGATAGTGCTTTTGGCTATTTGCATTTCTAATGTTGTTACTAAAGCAGCCACTTCTATTTCTCATTGTTACCAGCACAAAGAATAATTAAATGTTGCCTCCATCTCTGGTGATGCTTTTTTTCTTTCTTTCTTTAAATGAAGCTTACTGCCACCATAATGTCCACCCAACCCCATGATCCAAGTCATAGCCTGTCCATATTTGCTGTTTGTTTGACCCCATAAGGCCACGAACCCTGGCTGATCCTTCATCTGAGGACAAAGCTTATGTTTGCAGTGACATCATAAATGCCTGTGCAGAGAAAACAATGGCTGATGAATTTGGTGGGAGTCGGGCACAGTGGACGGCAGAGAGACACGCGGAGACGTGGCCCGAAACTTCCAGTGTCATGGAAAGTTTTCAGACAAGGACCCACACCTTGGCCAAACATGCAGAGTGCTTCCCCCCCCTCCCCAAAAAAATGAGGCTTAGCTGCAGTCTGAGGAGATCAGATTGCTGTGATTGTTGCGGAGACAGTGGAAGGGGAGGGGGGAACATCGCTGGGATCATCAGGTTATAACACTAAATGTTTAGATGAAGCTCTGTGACTGTTGGAGACAGTCAGAGACAGGGCACTGCTCCTTAGGGAAGAAAGACGCTTTGTTTTTATAGGCTGCCTGGAATGTGTTGAGGACTGTGGACATCTGCTTTATTAGCATATGTGCATCCACCCCCAGCTATGAATCTGCTGGTGGTCTGATAA